GATCCCATTCTATTCCAGCACACATTCAGGTAGATAATTTTCCCTGTAACACACTGGTAACAGATATAGATCGACAGAGGAAATTCTAGATAAAGTTATAGCACCAAAACAAAGTTCCAAATGTTACAATGTCAAAACGCAAAAAAGCATAGAAACTTACTGCTACTGTGTTGAATATCCTGAAGAAAATGATTAAGAGGAATATTCTGACATAAAATACTGTGATCATGATCCATGTCCTTTGAAACTGACTTTGTCCATTTTCAAATATTGAAGAGTAAACAAAGGGCCACTACTGCAACTTATATTTGAATTGTTTCCCTTTAATAAGTGAAGAATATGCACACACAGCACAGGCACCTTACGTTACTTATTTTTCTTTTAATACAAAATGTGTATTATTGGGTAGGGGTATATTTTTTTTTATTAAAAGAAAAATAAGTAACGTCAGGTGCCTGTGACACACAGTTACTCAAAACGTTTTCCCCCTACATTTATAAGCCAAAAATCATCAATCATTTGTTGACTCATAATAAAAATTCAACTTTGAAAAAGGGAATAAAATAATATTTGAATTGTTAATTACTGAACTTTAGAAAAAAATTAGGACGTGGCCATTTAATAATTAATGGGGGGGGGGGGGTTATTTTCAAGTCTTCGTTGGAGGGAAATTAAAGTTTTTTCCAGAGATGACCAAGGGCAGTATTTTTTGTCTGAAACTGTCAAATTGCAACTTTCAATTGTGTGTTTGGGGTGGGATCACTGGGTGTCGGTAGCACAATTAAAGTTGACGGCCTAAATATTCCATAAATCTGGTTTGGAAGGGGGGGGGGTGTTCGGGTACACTTTAAGATCTAAATACCTTCTTTCTTGCTGGTGGATATTTATTGCCAAAATTTTAAAGGAAAAAATACATGTTTCTGTTTGAAAAGGCAGAAATGCAGCTGTACTAGGGGGAGGTCCATTTCGGGGTAGGGGCTCGAAATTAATATATGCATATATTTCTCTTAATTATATGCATGTAGCACTTCTGTTTACTTATATAAATATCTGAAAAATCAAATGTCATTTGGCAAAATGATTTAAGAGGTTGGTACAATAGTATCCTTCGTATAGAATGTGACATTATTTCAGGTGTTGACGTGTCTTCGTGCTCAACTTTATATTTTGACATACATGTACATGTATTCGCTTAGTGAACGATATTGCATACGCTTCTTGCACGGAACATTTCGTTTCTGAAATGTAGTAGTAGCACGTTAAGGGTCTGTACGTATATATCGGCCAAATTATTGGAAGAGTGTCCGGAGTTATTCTTTGAATTTGCTTGTTAGTATTTACCTTTGAATGAATCTCTACCTCTAGTTTTCATTCTGTCATGAAGATTTTTTTCGATTAGACCCCCCCCCCCTCCCTGACACATAAACATATAGGGTATAGTGTATACATTCAGAATGTATATAGTATATGATCATTGAGTACAACTGGGGCAACATTACTCTTTATTTCAGGTTCTAACATGTCTCAGATTCCTAGCAAAAGGTGACTACCTCTCAGAAGTAGCGGACCTACACGGCATTTCTAAAGCGTCGGCGAGCGTAATCATACACAGAGTAGTAGAAGCAATATGCCAAACACTGAAGAACATTAATTTTCCAACCTCTACTGAAGAACGAAGAAAGGTCAAAGCACACTTCTATAAGATTGCAGGCTTTCCCGGTGTGGTTGGTGCCATTGATGGTACACAGATTCCGATTCAGGGAATGAGTTCAGAAGACGAGCCCTTGTATATATGCAGAAAAGGGTACCATTCCATTAACGTGCAGGCTGTTGTTAATCCCGATTTAAGGTAATAATTTTTTTTATATGCCGCTTTAGTAATCTTAAATTAAAACACGACTAAATAAATGCAATTAGACCAAAATAAAATTAAAGTTTGTTTGGAATTGCCTCCCGCCTCATTGAAATGCCCCCTCCTGAAAAAAATTTTATTGACCAAAAGTAGTAAGATTTTTCTTTTTTTTATTTAATCAATTTTTTTTGCCCATTACATGTATCACATATACCATGCAAAACACTGAAATATAGTGTCAGATATATGTAAAACTAGGTTTTTTTGTTGATGGTAGATACTTTTTTGTAAAAGTCAGAAAATCTACTTATTGTTTACTGAGATTTTTTAATCAAAAATTTAAAATTTATCTTCAATAAAAAAAAAAAAATAATTTCCCTCCCTCCTGTGTCTGAAACCCTTCAAGCGGCAATTCCAAACATTTGTTTAAGGATGGCCTAAGGTAATGATTGATTATTAGTCAAAGTGTACTTAGACAGAAAAAAAAATTGTTTTCAAATTTAAAAATAGGTAAGTAAGAAAAATTATTGACAAGTCAACATACCTAAAAAACTGACAAGATATGTCTGATAAAAATTCAAAACTCCAAGTTTATAAATGGATGGATGGACAATGGCTCACATGACAAACATGATTATCCTGACATTGCCTGTAACTTAAAATTTTCCTTCATGCTCAGGTTTACAAATGCCGTTTGCAAGTTTCCTGGGGCCACCCACGACGCCTACATCTTGCAGAGCAGCTCTCTACCAAATGTTGTTTCCCGCCTTGAGAATGGAGGATGGCTTGTAGGGGATTCTGGCTACCCTCTGAAAGAATGGTTGATGACCCCTCTAAGCAACCCCAGAACTGAACAGGAGGAGAGATACAACAGAGCCCATTGCAAGACCAGGAACGTCTTTGAGAGAGCTTTCGGTGTACTGAAAGCACGCTTCAGGTAAGTTGCAAATTTGGAAAATAATTATTTCACTGAACATTATTTTTAAGTTTTTGAAGGGAAAATAATTGATAAATGTAATGTTTCCTATTTTAACAGGTGCTTGCACAAGACTGGAGGAGCTCTGCCATATGGGCCATCAAAGTGCACCAGAATAATAGAATGCACAATGAGACTGCATAACCTGGCAATTGAAAATGGTATTCCATTATTGGAAACAATTGACCAAGAAGACGCAGATGTATTCCACATAGAACATCATACATGTAACAATGCAAACAGGACTGCTTCTGATGTGCGCAAAAGACTAATTCAAAGATTTTAAATGGTAAGTAACAAATGCAAATTAACTGCATCCTGCAGCATCTATTTTTGAGACACTCCTGTGAGCTAATTTAGCAAAAACATATTCACTCACTTCTAAAATGAAAAAAGGACTAACTGCTGTGATTACTTCAAGAGCTTGAGGAGCACATTTATTTTGAGTACAATCACATGTGTACATGTATAAACCTTTTTTTTGAGAGAGAGAACAGTGCCAAAATTAAAATTTTACATTCAAAAACAGTTTAAAATACTTTTAGATTAAAAGTTTTTACAGTGATAAATATATATTTAATTAATCGGTGGCTTTTTAGAGTTATAATGATAATTAACTGGTGCATTGAACCATGCAAATGCAAGAGATATGTTTAAAGGTCCATATCAGCTAAATACACTGTATGTAATTTTGAGCTTGCCATGGAAATAAAACAAAATGTATAAAGACTTATTTACAATATTATTGTAATAAATACCTTGGTTGAAATATTTATGTTCTACAACCTTTTATAAGCTTTTCAAGCCTTAAATATGTTAAAACTCAATAACAGTGATGTAAAATGTGGAATACAATATATTATTATGTATATTATATGTAATATGTTTATACACAAACAGTAATTCCTTTAAGTATAAAAAGTGTGCATGTAAGAATCAGAGAACATAATGTATTACAATATCTGATTTCCATAGGAACTAGAAATTTGTGTTTAGGACATGAATTTCCCACCCAGTAGTAATGCAACATGAACATCTGAATTTGGATAAAAATGTTTTGAACAGTTTCTTTAAAACCAAGTTTTATAGACAATATAGAGAATATAGAGACAATATAAATGATAAGAGTCACTGGAAAGATCAAGTTGAAAAATAGGAATAATTGAAAAATTCTAAAAATATTATGTATTAACATATTCATTAATCTAATAATACTTGTAACGAGTAACTTTGTTGAAACTGAAAAAAATGCAATTTTTTTTTTAAAAAGTGAAGTCAAGGTTACAGGAAAGGTCAAGGCCAAAAATGGTTGTTGCAGTTGAATATGTTACATCAGACACATAACTAGACTAGAGTACACTTAAATTGTTATTGGTGAGGGACCTATGAATTAATGCCGATAAAACTTAGAACTTTATCACTGGTGACAGAGAAAATTCTTTTGGCTGTTCTATTAGTGTCTCGGCAATTCTCTCAAGTGCAAGGCAGCTCCTCTGTTGGAAAACTTTTACTTCCTCCAAAAGTTCTAATTTTCTTTTCCTGTAGTTTTCCAGTTTTTGTAGTTTCTCCTCTTCAAATTTAAAATATCTTTCATTTGCACAGTTCTCGTCATCTATAAGTAACAAAGAACATTTTTTTTTATTTAGAAATACAACTGCAAGACAATGTACAGCAAGAGAATGAGGGGATCACTCATCTGGACGAGAATTTTTCATTTTTTTCTGTTTGAAATCGCAATGAGGACTGAAGAGAGTTTCATAACATGTAATTGAATTTCTCATATTTAATGATATCTGATACCAGTTTTTTCATAATTAACTCAACTGAGCCAAAGTCTTAAGACAAGTTTTTTTTTTTTTTGCATTCAACATGCAGTGTGGGAGTTGTTTAAGTGTTTTATGAGAATTTTATATATTTGTACTATTAATTACCAAAATGGAAGTCAGTCTAGTTATAATTACATTAACATATATGTAATTGAAGAAAAAGGAATAAAGTGGAACATTGAATATTTAGTGCTTTACTTATGTGTAAGACTTCAAAAGAAATGAACAAACTCATCAAATTCTCAAAGCTAGGGAACAAGAACAGACACATTCCTTATAGAATATAAGGAATTAATTACAGATATAGCAAAATAATTTCACAGGTCCCAATGACTTCTTTATTACCAAGTTTGACTGTATATGGTTTTACTTTTCTATTTTATACACTTCAAATGGTCATAAAAATGCTGAAATTCAATTACACCCCCCACAGGAATCGCCCTGCACCCCTGACCCCTTGGCTGATTTTATCAATCATTTTCTCCAGAAAGGGTAATTCCCCCCAAAATCTAGATTAATCCCTGTGTACAATAAAACTACCGGTAGTCTGTTTATAACTTTACCTCTTCTATGTGTCTTTTGTTGTGCTTCAGAGTTCAGAGTTTTCTTCTTTACAGCCTCTGAAAGGTATTAAGAAACACATATATTTTTGTGCCATCTGTCTGTCTGCTAATTTGTTTGTCCAATTGTCTTAAAGAGGTTAAGACCGTGGAACATTAATTTTCAAGACTGGAAACATGAAGCTTATGTCATTTCTATCTGTTATTTTCAAAACATTTAATGATAGACAATGAAATGGGTGCAATCTGATGAGGACGGCACATTATTACTGATTGAACCAGAAGACAAATAATTCAATTTCGGTATAGTTTGTAAATAATATATAAATCAGAATGTTTTCTCCAGTGTTTAATTGTTTATGTATGTGTTTTACCATAATTTTTCTAAGTTAATTTGTAAAATTTTCTATAATCATGATTATACAGTAAAATAAGAGGCCCATGGGCCACATCGCTCACCTGAGAAGCTTTGGCCATTCTGTTCTTTGCCAGATTTCCCCCTTGTAATACATATTGTGACCCCATCATACCCCATTGATCATAATTTAGTTAATTTGAAATTTACACTACCCCAGGATGCTTGAACATAAGTTTCAGCTTTACTGGTACAGTGGTTCTTGAGAAGAAGAATTTTGAAGATTTTTCCTATATATTTCTATGTAAAACTTTGATTCCCCATTGTGGCCCCGCCCTACCCCCGGGGGTCATGATTTGAACAATTTAGAATCTACACTACCCCAGGATGCTTCCAGATAAGATTCAGCTTAACTGGCCCAGTGGTTCTTGAGAAGAAGATTTTTTAATGACCCCACCCTATTTTTGTCTTTTCTTGATTATCTCCCCTTGTTAGAAGACTTGGCCCTTCATTTTAACAATTTTTATTCCCCTTCACCCAAGGATGCTTTGTACCAAGTTTGGTCAAAATTGGCCCATTGGTTCTTGAGAAGAAGTCGAAAATGTGAAAAGTTTACAGACGGACGGACAAACAGCTAGACAGACGGACGGACGACGGACAAAATGTGATCAGAAAAGCTCACTTGAGCCTTCGGCTCAGGTGAGCTAAAAATAAATTTTGAAAAGGAGAACTCACTTTCACCCCCCATGGACTGTAAGTGTTTACTGACTGGTCTGCTGGCATTTGCATTGTCACCTGTATAATAAATAAAGCTTGATTAATGCATTATTCAGAAGAGCTTATAGTAAAATGACTGTTCAAGTATTTTATGCCTGCAATAATGGGTAGTATAAACAATATAAGGATAAATACAGTTTGCTTGAACCAAAAAAAATATGCGTGTAAGGAATAAAAGCCGAGGTAAATGATAATCCCTGTAAAGTTGTAAACCCTTGACTGAACCTGCATATTTAATATTATTTCCATTGTCACTTGTAAAACTGGCTTTGACTTAATTTAGGTTACAAAGTCAGGTGTAAATTTCTGTGCACCCGAATTGAGTAAATTGTGTAAATAGAACGTGACATCACAATGCATAAAATTAAGGCCTAGAAAAAAAAAATATGTTTGTTTCCGCTTTCCTGACCGACCCTAATTTATAGTGCCGACCCTAAATATTTTTTTAATGCTTTTGTCCCATGATGTGCAAGATTTCATCCAGGGAATTAAAGTCTCCAACTTTGCAAGCTTTTCGAGACTTAAAGAATTTTGGCCTTTCTATTATCAGTTTAATAAGTCACAGAAATGCTTAAAAACACCATTTCTTTTGTCATTAATGTTAATTCTATACATGTTTTGATTTTTTTATTAAAGAAGCAAAAAAATTTTTTTTTTCAAAAAAAAAAAATTTGCCTACCTACCGACCCTATATTTTTTCAGCCTGAAAGCTGAAACAAACAATTTTTTTTCTAGGCCTAATTTCTCTGATATAAAATAATATCACAATGCATTATGTATGCACAATTATCTGATCAATAGATTGAGACACAGTTGATAAGACTCTAATGTTTACAAAGAACATTTATGGGTACATAGGAAATAAATTTGTTATCCAGGTCTATTCAAGGGTGTACAGGAATTTACCCAACGTTATATTCCTTCGGCCTCAGGGTGTCTGGAATAAAAACCGAGATAAATCCCTGTACTTCCTTGATTGAACCTGGATTATGAACTAATTATATACAATATTAAGTTGATTTTAAAAAAAGAATTGGGGGAGGGTTACCTTCTTTGGAGGTTCCTGGTTTATCAGCCTCTGTTAGCGGAATCACAGCACCATGACTAAGGGTTGATGTGTCTTTGACTAGAAATAATAATTATAATGATTACAATTTAAAAACAGTGAAAGTCGTAAATGAACTTAGGAAGTAATCAAAGAAGATACTATTTTTCTATGAAATATAAATTACGTATCTCTCTTATTTTATCAGAATAAAAAAAAATTCTTGTAAAAATAAATACTTCTATCACTGTAGTGTATAATTATTTAACTCATTTATGTATATGAGCCTTACCACCATTTCTGCTACTTGTACCGGATAGTGACTGAGGCATGGTGTTATCTTTTAAAATAAGAGAAGAGTAATGTAGATTATTGATTCAAAAGATAAAAAAAAGATGAGGAGGAAAACTGTGGTGCATAATTATGTACACTTTAAGTAAAAAATAAAAAGGCACCTTGGATGGGGAGTCTAGGTTTAGCAGAGTCTGTAGTAGATGGAACAACAGCAGTGATACTAATGGAAGAAGCTTCTTGGACTATAATGATACCACCAAAAACAATTAAATATTTAAACTAAAATGTTTCTTTATTATATATTTAAACTAAAATGTTTCTTTCATTTCTACGGACTCATGCAAGAAGTTTTATGCCTCGCCATGAATACGACCAGGCATATAGCAGCTACTGCCAGCTAGTGTTTGAAACTCACTGTAAAATTAGCTAGACACACAGGACTGATTGCCAAGCCAAAAATTTACTACCCCTTTTTTGAAATTAATTAATGTAATTCTGGTACATGTGTAATTTCAAACTGTTTACATAATCATATATCATTCATCTTTTGTTAGTTGCTACTATCAATTTTGATTTCTTCTTGTATTTCTCAATACTTGTATGCATTGATGGGCCCCAAATTGTTATTAATAAATGTTATCTTATCTATCTATTGTCAATAACATATGATAAGAGCCTATATACATACCACATTCTGCAGTATCAACTCCACCGCTGATGCCCTCGATTGCAATATCTGATAAGGATTTTAGAACCTACAAAATATTTAAGGATATTTAAAAATCAATAAATAAAGGTCCATGATTCACAATGCTCGCCTGAGTAACACTTGCACTGATAGACACTCTTTGATCAGAAAAGCTCACTTGTACCTTTATGTCAGAAGTGCTAAGAAACAGCCTTGGATCAATATCACTGTTGGGGTCCTTAGAAAATTTATAGCAGGAATATATGATATCATATTATTTTATTCAACTGTTTGCTTATTGAAAGTATTCTTTCAACAATTTCTTTCTAAATGATTTAATTGTTTTATGCACTGAAACTCTAAATATTTGACTCATACTGATTTCAATAGTAAGGCCCAAGTTTTTTTTTCTCTTGGTTTACGATTCCGCCGACCCTATTTTTCCCTATTTACGAGAATAAAAATAATGTGTCTGGCTCAAAATGTTCTTGACCAAACCAAAATTTACAACACATCTTAATCATTAACCCAAACTCGCACAAACATTCAATACAGATTGTCAAACCACATTGCCAATGACCAATGCATCGAATACTCTGTCGGAACTCCTCTAGATTTTACGCTTCCGGGTATGAAAAAGTCCATCGTTTCAAGTTATTCACGACAAGGCGCAAAACAGCTGGACAGCTATCGATATCATGCCAAAGATGTTGGGGAAGATTTAAGATCTTTTTATTGTCAAATAATTAATTCATGCTGTGAATACAGACATATTTTTACTGATAAATTGTGAAGTTATTAGCTTTCTAAGAAGTTACACATCAGAAGACAGATTCGATAAACATAAATACCTGTTCAATCGGCATGCAGGTGTGCATCAAAACCTTTATTAGAAACAGAATTTTATTTTGAAAACAAGTTTGAAGAGAAATTAACAAAATTATGACTATGCCAAAATCCCGGAAATCTAATGAGAAGAGAAATTTTAGAAGTTTAAGATTGTACTACTATATAAGAAATGAGAAAAAAAAAAGTTTGATAAACAATTAATCTGACAATGAGAAACTTTTACAGTTTAATAGTAGTAGTAGTAAATTTTATTTAATGTCAATGCTGTTTTATTTTTTTCTTCTAGATATTTATACACCTTGTAATCGGGGGAAATATCTTTTAAGATTCTTTTTATCTTTTTTTAATCATTTTAAATACAATGTTTATACAGAAAATTTTTTGAAATGTAATGTAAGTTTTAAACAATGAAATAGTTTTATAACGATTAAAGTGTGCCACGTATACGCACCAAGAAGTCTCCCTAAATTTCAAAACTTCTCCTTAAATTTCTTTGAGGGAGAAGTGAAGTCTCTTTAATTGGGTGGGTCTAGGTTGGTCCCTGGATACACATATCTTAAGGTAAAGGTTTGTTGTGAAAGCAATCACTTTCGGAGTTTCCAAGTAATTTTTCGTAAGTGGAAAGGCTGACCAGAGGATAGCCAATTTGCTTAATTTTACCCATATTTGTCCCAGTGCAATATATGTGTCTATCATGGAAACTCAGACTTGTAAGTCGGAAGAATGAAAACCATCAACAGTAACAGAGCCTGATACTCCCATTTCTGTTCTTGAGTCATTTGACGTGTGATTCATTTTTCTTGACTTAAAACCGAATGATAAGAAAAAATAATTTTAAAAGTTGAAAAATCTTGTGTGTTTATTATTTTTATTTGAATACATTTCAATGCTACTCAAGAAAAAAATATGTCAAGGTTCCAAATTATTTTTATTTTTATTTTTCGACCACCCAATGCATATTTTTGTGTCAAAAAATCGTAAACCAAAAAAAATAAAAACTTTGGCCTAACTGACAAAAGTGAATGACATATTGTTTTAAAAAAAATGAAAATTTATTTATAGACTTTACCAAATTTTCCCAGCATTTAAAAATAAGATTTGGGCCAGGGCCTCCACCAGTCATCTTTATGGACCTTCTCCTTTCCCCTTCTTTCTTTTTTGTCAGGCTCTGCATGTCGGCCCACTTTTTCTTCATTTCATCGACTGTTCTTTTAACCATGGCAACAGAGTTGACTCTAACGTAGAACAATGGGATATGCACATTTAAAGAATTGCTTATAGATTAAATTAATAACTTCACTAGACTAACAAAATTCTCATTCTAATTTATGCATAATATTGAAATGCAGTACTTAGTAAAACTGGTTCTTCTTGGTTAAACTATTTGAATTCTGTAATTTTCTATAAATATTTGTCTACACTATGTCATATTAGATAATTTTTAGCTTTTTAATAGCATGATTTTGCAAAAAAAAAAAAAAAAAAAAAAAAAAAAATTCTAAGAGAAAAATAGATGAATGAATTCAAATACTTTGAATGATTTAGTTTTTTTTTTTTTTTTTTTTTTTACTTTACAGTGTTTGTTAAAGTTAAATTTGTTTTATTTTGTGTCTTGTGTACACATTTTTTGCAAATAAGTAGTTAGGTTTTTGACAGTTTGGGTGGACACTCAACAGGAAATAAACTTAGAATTTAATGAAAATAAACAGAATTTAACATATTCACAGATTTTTAACCAGTTAAACTGTTTCTCTCTTTGAAAGTTGGATGTGTTTATTTTTTCATGGTTACAACTGAATCATCTGAAAGTAAATTTTGCCAAATAAAGGGTCAAATACCCAATATGTATGCCAATTTGAAATTTTCTTTGGCTAGCTTTGTGCCTGACATCAGTGGAAGGGGACACTGGAAATTAATATGGAATGCCTAATGTATCTGTTGCACAGCATTTATATTTACACTTTTATTTCACTGATGCCACATGATGACAATCTCGTTTACTCAGTACATGTATACAGATTTTAAACTTGTGTCCGTATTTTGTTTCTGATAACATAACCCCAACAAATTGTATTTCAATATTAATTTTTCCTCTGATATTATTATTATAATTGGGAGTGGGGTGGGTTGGGCTACAAAAATTCGTAAAATTTCAGAGTTATTCAAACATTGTCAAATCTAAATGCATTTTTTAAATTTCATAAAACATCCCGTAAGTTATTGACTTAAGAACTGCACAATAAATATATTGATATGCTGCTATTCAGTTTTGACTTTATTATGGTACATGTATCGTGATTTGGGGTTCGTCACAATACTTACTCATCGGCTACCTCCTCCCACAGCTCCTGTTTTCTCTCAGCTGTCAATGACGGAGACAGCTTCCCTTTCAGGTATGAAGCCCTAGGGACCACTGCCTCCGCCAAAGCCACAAGTTCCCCCTCGCTCCAGTTGGGCCTTCTCCGCTTGATATCTTTTTCCATTTTTTTGTCGCAGACGAGAATGACGTATTGCCGCGAATAAAAGTGAAAGTGACTAATGCGCTTGCGCAGCGTTCGTAACTACGAATATTTATATCTCCTTTAAAAGAGAGTTCCAAGATCGTATCTTACGAATTGTTCATAAGTTAAGATTACGATAAAAATTTACGAACGCGTTAGTAAAACAGAAGCATCGTATCTTAATTTAAAAGTTACGAACTTCGTAACTCAGACTTTTTTTCTTAAGATACGAAGTTTAGTAAAACTGAAGCCAGGCTTCAGTTTTACTAAACTTCGTAAGTTAAGATTTGATCGTAACCGTAAGTTACGATAAATTTCTGTCTTACTAAACTTCTTATCTTAAATTA